GCGTTTACGACAAATCTGTCTATCGCTACCAAAACGTCCACACGTAATCTTCCTTGCGAGAACCAGGTTCTTCCGGACTCGTGATGGGGAAAGGTTCCACAGGCTCACAGCTTCATCCGCCCGAAGCACCTGGCAGCCGCATGAAAAGCAAAGGCGATCCTGAGCATCGCTGTAACAACAAAAATCGCCATTCCTACCGGGGGCCTATAAAATAAAAGGACTCAAGCCCAAAATAAAAGGACCCCAGTTGGAATAGCCAATCAAAATCAAAAACCAGTACCACTGCCGGCAGCAGCGTCTCCACAGTTCTGGCACCAGATCACAGGCTATAAGCGGGCCTGCCCTACGCCTGCAAACAAAGACAACAAAAGCAGATTCTTAATGGAGCAAGTGCTTTTATACTGGCCTGTAGGGATATTCGTGTAGTCTTTTGTTGCAGACAGGGGTTTCCGTCTTCAAGACCTTCAAATCAAGTTCAAGGAACAGACAACCTCGAGACAGGCACGGACGTCTCTAAGACGATGACTTCGCAAGATTAGATGCTTGCGAGCGCACTGACTTGCAAACCCAAGACTGGCCCAAGACCACGAAGCCTAAAACCTGAAACCCCTAAGCACCGCATTGCAGGTGCTGTTTGCACCGGGCACCATTTTCCGGGTGGTGGGCTTCTACCCATGCAACCAGCAAAGTTTGAGGCACCGGGGAGTCTGCGGTTTAGGGCGGAAATCAATTAGTTTTAAGTATGTCTTGAGACTTAGGGTTGTCCGGTTGTAATATGTTATGCTTCTCCGGGGCCGCTGGATTTTGAGTCGCGGTTTGGGGTTCAAGAGTCGATTCTGGACGGTCCTACTCCCATTCCCGGCTTGCGGGCCTGCAACTTCCAAGCTTGAAGCCCGAATATAGTCCCTTGATTATAAAAAAGTTATTAAGATCTTACTGGTCAGGCACCGACGCCTTACACCCTATATAATCTCCATAGGCGTTATGTAAATGCTATGTGTTCTGGGCCGCGCTGCTGCACTCAATACGGAACCACAAAGGCGATAAAAAAGACAGGTCGTAGAGTCCTAACACCCTTAAAAAAAGAGGCTGACAGCTCTTCAGTCAGACAAGACCCGGCCTGCTTAGTACGAGTGCAACAGGTTAAACCGCAGTGTGACTGGAGCCCTAAACCCACAAGCCTTAAGCTCTCCCTCCTGAACACCCCCGTCCGAAAACAAAGAAAGATCCAGCACACATAAAGCCCTAAAGCCCTTTCAGAGAGACTTTTGCTGGCGCGGTTTGGGGTGGAAGTCCCTGGGTTTCTGTTCAGGCTTCGTGTTTACAGCTGATGGTTTTCGGCACGGTTTGGAGCGTGGAAGTTCCTGGGGTTTTGGTTCGTGCTCAAGGCTTGGAGCTGGGCTTTTAGGATGTTCGAAGGTTCGAGTTTGGGGTTCTGTATTGTTGCTCGAGGTGGTCGTGAAGGCTTCAGAACTGAGTGTCTGGATCCGGGACATGCCCGCTGGAATTCAAGATAATGGACAGTTCTCTGTTTTGTCAGCTTGTGTCCGAATGAAGACAGATTCCGGAACTTACTGCCAAGCATGCCTTGTTTGCAGCTGCTCAGACAGTTCTTGAGTCAAACATTGCATGCTTGTCGAAGCAAGGTTGCAGCAGAAGTTTTTCGACGTCCTCGCAGCAGTTCGATGGCGGCTGTTCTCCGTTTAGTGCCGCGGATCTCGCCAGTGAGGCACTTCGCAGCAGCATGCTCGCATCTGCTTCTTGAACGCCACTTCCCGGATCAGCTTGCCACGGAGAGGACGGCGCCTCCTCAACATTATCTGGGACAGCTGGCCGATCTGGTGTCTGAAGCACAGACTGTGCACACAAAAGCACGTACTGTCAGAAGTCCGTGCAGGAGGGCAAATCAGTGGGGTGAATTGCCGTGTAGTGGTTGTGGAGAGCATCTACCACCGCACCGGTTTTCGACCCAGAGAAGCTTGTGCAGAACCTGCGATGCATCAAAGGCCCGCGCTTACCATCGTACCTTGCGAAGCAATGTTAAACTTCTTGTGAACTCAGCACGAATTCGGTCAAGAAAGAAAGGTTGGTCATGCACCTTACAGGCTGAACATGTGCTGCACATGCTCTTGCAGCAGGAAGGGCGATGCGCCTATTCTGGAGTGCCAATGGAGATTCTTTTTCCCCATTCAAACTGGCGAATGTCCTTGGAACGACTTGATAATTCCATAGCATACTGCCAACGGAACTGTGTTCTGGTTGCTTGTGAGTTCAACTCTGCATCGCAGTGGTCTGCCGATAAAGTGGAATTTGTACGCCATGCAGATAGATCAGTCGTGCATGTGGAGACGCTCAGGCAAGATGTTGCCGTGGCACAGAAACGCCGTGCGTCAAGTCCTTCCCAGTACTCTAGGACACTGCGAGGATTTTCGAAAATAATGGCAGCAAGCGCGAGGACACGATCCAGAATCAGGGGACACCTGTGCGAAATCAACTACACTGATATTCTGCAGATGCTCTTGGAGCAGCAGGGGCGATGTTTTTATTCTGGAGTACCGCTGCAATACTGCCCACACACAGATTGGATGATGTCCTTGGAGCGCCTGGACAACAACTTGGGCTATGTGGAAGGGAACTGTGTCTTAATCGCGAACGAGTTCAATACAACAGATCACAGTCGGCGTGCAGTGGGGGAAGTTCGTGGGTCGTCCCAGTGGTCGCTTGCGAAAGTGATGCACGTTTGGGACAGAGCTGGGTTTCTCGACCAGGAGCTTCCACCCCTACCACTGACAACTGGGGAATGATTCGGCTAATGCGGCCAAAACTGCTTGAAACAAAGATGGCACCAGGACAACTGGAAATTTGTCATTTGGTGGAGTGCTCTGCCAATGTTGCCTGCCTGCAGAACGTAGTCACGTAGTCATGGCATATGGCACATGCCAAACAAGAGTCACAGGTCCTGCGTCAGGGATCCATGTATCCTGACTCTAATGAACTCGTCACCGGATGGCTCTGCAGCCTCGAAGCTTCGACCAGAAGCACGAGCGTCAACGTTTCGCAGCTGCAGAGTCTTCTGAACACGTTTCACTAAAGTGTAAGGCCAGTGAAAGGCCTGTTCGGTGTGGCACTGGAATCCTGGCCTGGTGAGGATGTGAAATAGCTGGACGCCGTTCTGCTTGCACTGTGTACCCTGTGTTCTGCTAGGCCGCAAGGCCAAAGAGTCCTACAGCCCTTAAACCCGGCAGGTTAAACTAACCACTCAATTGAACCTGGTTCCCCCAAGAGCCAAACGATGAAACCCAGAACCCCCAACAATTCGATGTCTGTTTCTTTAAAGCTCTCAGGATCGAACGTAGAGTTGAGAAAGGCTCGTAAGCCGGTAGGAGTTAAGGCTGTAGATTATATCTACTATACACCTACTTCTCGACCTCAAAAGTAAAACACTTCCAAAAGAAGGACGCCGAGCACAACATCTCAGTGTCGCCTCCATGCCTCGCGATCATGACCGAGCCCGTCTAGAACCCTTCTAAAGCCTTGAATGATAGAGCCGTATTGAACTATCATACAGCCTGATTTTATACATGCTAGGCAAGGCACGTTAAAGACATCCTGTATAGAACCCTTCTAAACCCCTACCAAGGCAAAGACACACCCTAAACCCTACAAGCTCTAAACCCTAGGCCCGGACACTTATCGCCATGTCTGCTTTTGCGAGTGTGTGAGTCGAAACCCTCAACCCTAAACCCTAAGCCCTCAACCCTATAAACCCTGCAAAAAAAAGCGCCAGGAAAGGCACGGCCTCGGACGCCGGCGCCTGGTCCGCGGAGCTCGGCTCCGCGGCCGCCTGTGCCGCGCAGCGTAGCGAAGCCTTGGCCTGGGAGGAGGCGGGCGCCTTCGGGGGTTCCTTTAAACGGAACTCCTTTTAGTGTTCCATAGTTGTACTGTTTTTCGGGGTTTGCTTGAAAGGAACCCTTTTATTGTTCTATTAGTGCTACCTTTCAAGGGGTCGTGCCTTTATGGGTTCCTTCTAGGGGTTACGTTTGCTTCCTCCAAGGGTTCCAGATTAAGGTTCCTTTCCTGGATCCATAGTGGGGTTTGCTTAAGGGCTCTGCCATAGGGTTCCCTCTATAAGGCTTCCTTTGAAAGGTTTTCAATACCCGATGCTTCCGGGGGCCCTTCAAGGCTCCCTTAAGGGAGCCCTTAAATGTTCGTTTCAATTTAAACAGGTTCTCTATATCTCTCGCCGGCTTGTGTTTGCAACACTTAGCCCGGACATCACGCGCATGTCTAAGATGTCTGCACTTATCAGTGGGCTGTGGGTCTCAGGGACCGAGATGCCACGTACTCATACACAAGTGAAGGAACGTGAAGTATACCCGTTTTAGGGATGTCTCCCTCTCAGGAGTTTTTTGGTCGCTGGCTTTCTTGGCTCCTGAATTCGCAAGCCTTTCCCAGGGTTCGCCCGTCTCCCGACATGAGGCAGCAAGCCCTGAACCCAAACCTACGCAGGTAGGTCGGCAGAAGCATAGACCTTAGATCCGAAGCTGCAAAACCCAGTGAGCAGAACCCATGGACCCTGTTAGCTCCACTACAGCGATAGAGGCCTTAATACTGAGCTGAAGAAGTTCTGGGCTGAATTATTGTGGGTCTATATAGAGACGAAATGGCGATAGAGCGTATATGATCACTACATCGAGACCCCAAACTCTGAAGGCACTTCTCTGCTGCCCCCGAAAACTCCAGACAGCATAGCCTACACAAGCAAACACGCCAAACTCAAGCAGCGACTAGCCCAAACCTACAAACCTTGATGGCCGTAGTGTAGGAGTCGAGACTTTCCACCCCAAGCTATGAATGGCTAGCTTCTCTTGGCAGGAATGATAAAACGGTTTAGGGTTTAGGCTGCTGGGAATCTTGCCGGGCGAGCACTAGTCAAGCCTGCGTAAAACGCTGCTAAACCAAAAAGGGATCCTAGCATACGAGATCCCATATAGACGGCCATGGTTCGACTGAATAGCTGCCATGGCAATGAGTTCAATCCGCTGTTCCGGAGCGACATGGGCTCGGAGTCGGAGGCGTGGTGGGCGCTTTGGGCGTGTTCTTACCAGGGTCACTTCTGCTCCGGCTCTGGACTTAAAGGTTTAGGGTTTAGAGTTTTGGGTTTGGGGTTTAGGGTTTAGGGTTTAGGGTTTAGTTGAGGATTTAGGATAGGTTGTCCGGGCGGGGCGGTGCTTATGAGTAGGATGAGGGTGGGGACGATAACCAGGCTTGAGGATAAGAGCACGGCGAGGACGACATGTCCCCTAGGCATGATGATGTAAATGCTGGTTTGGTGAGAAGTCCGGTGACAATGAAGACGTGACTGGCGGTTAGAGTTGCTATGATGTTCATTGTGGCGATGACGATGGATGGTCCACTTAATGTTGGTTCAGGCTTTAGGAGTTGCAATAGTCGTCGTCGTTGTAGGAGGAGGAGGAGGAGGAGCAGGCGAGCTATGTTACCCAGTAAATACTGCCCACATGGTCGGAATTTCCGAGCCTGTTGCCGATTCCACTATGATGCTCCGATATAGAGCCGATGCAACTGCAACTTCAATCCGCAGAACCTCAATTTTGCGTGATATACCACCGTTATCGAATCAGCTTTAATTTTTCTACCTTGTCTCTCCCACCGTAGCGTTAAGCCTTGTCTTGCTTTAGCTTCACAGCGCTAGCCTCTTCCTTGGCCCGGTCTTGAAGGAAGATAGAGGTTCCCATTGTGGCTCTGCGGTTCAGGCCTGGGCATTGCGGGCATATAGACATGAACTTCCGACAAAAGGGTCTCAGCGTGGACACCATCTCCTGGTTCAAGAAAGGGCTAGTGTGGTCTGCACTATTCCTTGAAGCCTAAACCCTAAAGCGCACAAACCACCCAACCCTAAGCCCTTAAACCCCATGAACCCTAAACCCGAAACCTTAAAACCCTAACCCCAGTGTGTTACGGTCAGGAGGGCAGCGACGCGAGCGAGGATGACGGCGGGGAGGAAGGTGAGGCTTCAGAGCCCGATCCTGCCTCCGGGCTGAATTGAAAGTTTAGCGTTTTTTGTGGTTTTTTTCTCAGAGAACGGCATGATGCCTCCAGGCGTGAACTCGGCAAGCCTGCGGAAACGAAAAGGGTTTCGGGCTGCATGATAGTGTTCTACAGTGCAGGGTTTTACATTACGGGTTCCTTACTTTCTGAACCAGTTGGAAACACGCATTTCGGTTTCGGCTGTGAACTGTAAGCGTAGGAGCTTTGAGTTCTTGAGCGAGTGGAAGAAGCCCTTGTGGCAACGCACAACGGCATATAGCAGGACAGTGGCAAGACTCGCAGAAAGAAATATCATCGTGAATGAGGCCTCGGCACAGATATATGGCCCTCTAATATGGGGTTTCAGTATTTATGTCCTGATATCCGTCTATAGCTTTACACTGTTGTACCAGACTATGCCCCACCTCCCACACCCCCGAAATCTAAGGAAGTAATTAACCTTTGGCCTTCCAACCCGCCTCGTCCTTTAATGCCTAGCCAGACACGAGATGTCAAAGCAGCTCCGAACCCCGGTGTGTGAAGCTGCCAAAGCACCTGGCAATAGCCACGATCTTGCGAGAGTCTCCTACCTAGTCTGTCTGGTGCTTAGTAGGG